GCGGGGCCTGGGCGTGCGCATGCGCACTGCTTGGCGCACAGGCACGGCCGCGCTTCCGTCAGGTGTTCTGGCAATGGCGCTAATACCGCCTTCTTCTGCCTTCAGAGTCGGATGTCTTTGAAATTGTTCTCCCGATCACTGTCTTTGTGCTGAGCGACGATGATTTTCTCCAAGATGACGCTGAGGAGCAAGCAGCGTTGGTTCCCGAGTTGAAAAAGGAGGACGAGCAGGATGTTAACTTAAACAATAGCGTTTTTCTAGAAAGTAATGTGATGCCTTCAAATGACAGTAATGGTTTAAGCATCTGTGAAGAAAACAAGACTGCTTCAAATAAGGATAATAATATGAAATACTCTGAAGAAAAATGTGTTGCCGAGAGTGTGTGTAACAGATCAAAATCATCTTTAAGTGACTGGTGCGATACGGGCACAGATGAATACAGTCAGAATTATGTGTTGCCTACATCATCTTGCAAAACAGAGCTTACAGAGATAAATGAAAGCAGTGACAGAAAAGAATATGATGGTGATGATGGCTTTCAGAAGATTCCTCCTCCTCTCTCCTCTGCTGGCAATGAGGGTAGAGATGAGATCGTCAAGACAAGCAGGCAGGTGACGTTGGCAGCAATATCCAAACATGAAGAGGAACTTGTGAGCGTTGCAAGTGTTCTTTCTGATGGCAGTCAAGAAAAACAACCAGAAATCCACAAAGAGATGGAGACAGTTGTTGAAATGGAAGGTAAATCATTCATAAGACTACTGCAAGAGTTTTAAGAAATCTGGTAAATCTTACGTTTTTGAAACAGGTAGGAAAGTCTATAGGAAGAATGCCAAACCCATTTATTTTAGAGTAAGCATTTCAACATAGATTAATATCATGTGCAGCAGAAAGAGAATATTGGCTAGAGTATCCTTAGTTCTTCCACGGAGTCCTGTGAATAGTAGTGAAACTACAGTAAGTTGGGACTGTTTCATTCTGCTGCAGTTTGCAAAAGGGCGGCCTTTCATGAGGGAGAAGGATCTGAAATTGGAAAAAAAAATAGGGCAAAAGGAGCATCATAGTTGTGAGAATGGAGCCCTGGCAGGGTTTGGTGACAGTACTTTCATAGGAATTCTGGCATAAAGCTGTTTCATTAAAATCTGCAGGGGCTGCTGGATTGTCCTGTGAAATTCAGAGCTTTGAGTGAGATCAGGAAGTGGGAAGGAGGAGACTACTAACTAGGATTTCTTCTCTTAAAACATTATTTCAGTGTTGCGAGGGGAAAGCATGGAGAGTGACATTAGGAAAAGTGGAGACAGGAAAATATTAAGGAAACAAAAGGAGCGAAGAGCAAGCAAGTTGTTAGACAATTTGGGATTATTACTACCAATTAATAGTGAATGTTGTATGACAGGTCATAAAATCACCATGTGACTTTTTATCCCTCTGTAGATCCTGATTCTTCAAAGAATGGAGACAATGAAGCTAATAACAGAAGCAAATCTGAAGATGAAACTCAGTGTTCTTTTTTGGAACATGGCTTGAAAGAAGAACCAAAATTTACCTATAATTGTTCTGCTCCGTTTCTTAATGGATGTTCTCCTACTTCAGAAGAATTGCTAAAAGATGTAGGGGAACTGGAGATGAATGCTTCCACTTCTGCTGAATCAAGTATTACTGGAGAGCATATTTATAAGACATTAACACCATTTCCTAAGAAAAGACGTCGGCAACAAAACGTTTTTTCTCCTCATTCAAGCCCAAAAGAATTGCAAAGCCAGCAAGAAGGTTTAGCATGGCTAAGCAATAGCGTGACCATCAAACCTCTTTCTAAAGCATCTTGTTCTATAAATAAGCATGAAAGATTGAATTTGAAGTGCAAGTTTTGTTTTTCTGTATATAAATGCAGTGCACATCTAAAGAAACATGTTTATTCTGCTCATAAAGATAAGAAAATACATAAATGTTGCTTTTGTAAAAGAACCTTTTTCTCTTCTGTCAACCTGAAGAATCACCTTAAATTTCATAAAATAAGTAAGTTGCAAAAGGCAAGAAAAAATAGAATGAATGCGAGAAGAGTTAGGCAGAGAAAATCAGAAGAAAGAAAATCTGAGACCAAGAAAAAAGAAAGTAAATATGAGAAATTTTTCATCAAAATTGAAAGGGGCTTTACACCTCTGGGTGTGCCAGTTAGTTTTTCCTGCAAGTATTGTTTCTTTTCTTCATCAAATCCTAGGACTTTTATTCATCACATGAAGGGACATAAAGAGAGACCACCTTACCAGTGTCCTCAGTGTGACTACTCCTGCATTAGTTTATCCTACCTGATAAATCACACCTACTGGCATGCTGGGTACAAGCTGTACCAGTGCAGGTTTTGCACCTTTTTTTCATTATATTTTGCAAGCATGGTGAGGCATAGCTACATACACACTGGGGCTAAACCATATTCCTGTGAGTTCTGCCAGTCAGCGTTCACGAGCACCACTGGGTTAAAGAGACACAGGAGATTACATGCAGGCAAAGAAATGTGCCAAGGGCAGCAACTCGACTTCGTAAGTGGAAGAAAGAGAACTCGAAGACCTTTAAAGAATTACACGTGTGATGAGTGTAATGTAGTGTTTTACACTAGAGGACATCTCAGCTTTCATAAGAAATTTCATGAACAGTTTAAGGCTACTGCTAATGGTTATACAAATCAGAGCAATGAATATCACAAAGGCAAAATACGTGAAGTTGGCAGTGATTCCCAGGACCATGTTTCTCTGTCTCCTGCTAGTAAAAAAAATGATTGTCTCAGTGGGGGAATGCTGGCTTCAGAAGTAGGCTTTAAGCAGGCAGGTGATGTGCGGGACAATAAGAAAATGTGCTCTCAAAAGAAATTCCCTGAAAACAGCCATGGAAGCAACAGCTTACCTATTATTGGGAATAGATCAGACATTCCTCTGAATTCATACAAACTGGACACTGTCATTTGCGAAGAGGAAGCTCTCTTCAACTCCAGGGCCTCTCGTTCACAAGCTCAGGATGATGATGCATATCATAAATTTGTGGAAAACTTGAAGGATACCTGGCCTGCTAATTGGTCTACGTTCAAAACGTACAAGTGCCAACACTGCAGTTATGCTACCACTGTTCATAGCGACTTTAAGCTGCACCTAAAAATACATACAGATGAAAGACCATTTGTGTATAAAAAATGTAATAAGACATTTAAAACATCAAACCATGTGCAGAAGCACAGCCTTACTCATGTAAAGAACAGATACGAGTTTGGCCATTGCTTCTATGTAGATAGCCGTTCAGAGAATCTTGAATTGCATCATGAAACGCATGTAGGCATGTGTCCAGAAAGAGATTTCGGTTCCTCGGAAGGTTCAAACAGCGTCCATTCCTTGCTTGGTTCGGAAGTCTGTGGAGTACAGCCAGATGTCCAGAGGGGCAAAGAAAATGATGTGCTAGCACAAAGTCAACGACGATTCTATCAGTGTGCAGAGTGTGAGTACGCTACTTACATTTTAAGCAACCTTGAACTACATGTAAGAACTCACACAGGTGAGAAACCATACAGCTGCAGTGTTTGTCAGAAGAAGTTCCGTACTTCCAGTCACCTGAAAAGACACAGTATCACGCATTTTAATATAGAGCATCTCAAGTGCAGGAACTGTGACTATTCAACAAACAAATGGCTGTCTTTGAAACAGCATCTGGCTTCACACTCGTGTGGGGAAAGCTCATCTACTGGCTGTCTCTACGATCAGAAGCAGCTACCTGTCAAAACGTACACGTGCGAAGAGTGTGGCTATTCCACGGCCCACAATGGAAACCTGAAGCCACACTTGAGAATTCATACAGGGGAAAAGCCATTCAAGTGCAGTCAGTGCGCTGTTGCTTTCCGCACATCCAGCCATCTGAAGCGCCATTTACTGACTCATTTGAAGTTGCGCTGCAGAAGGTGTAGGTTTTCGACAGCAGATAAACAGGCTTTCCAAAAGCATGTAAAAACACACAAAAAAAAGTACAAGTGTGGAAAGTGTAATGTGATGCTGTCTACCAAAAAACTTCTGGAAAAGCATAAGCGTCAACATAAGCTTGGAATATAAGCTTGGGAATTGCAGGCTGGCAGTTGATTCTGGAGAGGTTTGCATGTTTTGAATTTGTTCATTGCTTTACATTCCCCTGCTGTCCCCAGAACGACGGTAGGTAATGGAGGCATCCAGCATTTTGGGCCAGAGAATGAACCTGGTTTGGTCTAGGTTCTTCTGAGAGCTTCAGTTCTAGCATGGGCTGTGCTAAAAAAGATCTTAGAGGGATCTTTTCATGCCTGAGTAACTTTTTAATACCATGAGGTCAGTTATTATTTGGCCAGTGTACATTAGTTTAAACAGTTATTCTGTGCCACTTACTTTCTTGCAAAAAATTAATAAAAAGAAGTCTAACTGAAAGAATGTTAAAAAAAGAGAGGGACGTGCACGTTATATTGTATTGTAGTAACTTTTCATTTAAAAATTGTCAATGTGTTTGGAGGCTTAACGCTACCTCCCATCTGCTGAAAAGTTGCATTCCCTGATCCCAGGTTCTCTGGCAATACCTGCCAGAGATTAAAAAAAAAGAAAAAAACCCAACAAAAAACCCCCCTCACAAAATCACAGAAACAAAAGAGTTGTGTCATCACTGGATAACTGGGATATGAACGTGTTTTCTGTATGTGAGTATATCCAAAGGGTTTATTAGGCAGTTATCTTGTCTGTACTCTTGATAATTCTTTGAGTAGTATGACAGAAATGGTTTTGTCCTTAATCAGTTATTTTATGATACTGAGAACCCTTAAATTAATCTTCATTAATTTTATGTAAATGTCTAACGTTAATCTAGTATGAAATGCCTTATCTTTTCTCAGGCTGGTAGTTACTGTGTTCTTTGTTTCTTAAAATGGACAATATCATACTTTTCAAAGAACTTCTCTGTTAATTTAACCACTTGTTGGTATATTGCAAATACTACTTAGCTACACTGAAAACCTTAGCAGTATCTTGAACTGTAAAATATATTTTGTTAAAGAGCTTTACTGTGCATCGAAAATACCATGTATGAGGACCACTTGTGCCAAACAGCAGTCATTACCTGGTATGGTGAAGACAGATGGATGTTTCTTCCACTTTATACTCAAATCTAGACAAATCTTGGCTTGTTTTACGGAGTTATATGCTGCTCGAAACTCTGTGTGGACATCACTGACTCTATGTTCGGTGGTATCAGTAACAGCGGTATTACTCTCTTGTGTGAGGAAAGACAATGGCAAAGGGCTGGTGCTAACAGTCCCCTGATGTTCCAATTCAGTCCATGAAACAGCAGAGTAAACCTATAGCTTAATTTAGACAATGTAAACATGAAACTACGACTGTTTTCTTACTGCTCTCAGATGTATGCTTTTCTTTATAAATATAGATACTATCTTGCAGGGGCTTTCTGGTAACGTAGGAGACAGGTTGGAAATGATTGCCCAGACAGGTGGTGGAGTCTCCTTCTTTGGAGATACTCAAAACCTGTCTGGCTCTGGGTGGCCCTGTTTGAGCAGGGGGTTGGACCAGACGATCTCCAGAGGTCCTACAGCCATTCTGGGATTCAGAACGCAATTTTCTAAGAGTGGATTGAAACTCATGACTAGATGCCATCAGCAAAGGTATTTAAGTGATCTAATTCTTTGTAAAATCAGGCAAGTAAATATCTGTGACTGGTGGTGACAGATGTTTTTCACTACAGGCAGGGAAATTGCTGTTTGGGAATGAGTAATTCTGAGATTAGAGTGATTGAGCTAACCACCTGGTACAGTTGTGAGAAAGAACTTTATCCTGATATGAATAAAGAAAAGCATTTCTGGGAAGTATTAACACTGTTATAAGAGCTTGGAGGAATTTTTACCTCCATTACTGCACAATTTTGATAATTTATTTGAAGAAAAATTAAGAAAAAACAGGTACATCAGTGAAAAGAATTGTAAGCCTGTATATCAGATGAGTCTAGGAAAGCTAAATCTGAGAATAATTGTTTCAAAGTGTGGTGTACAATGATGAAGAAAGGAGCCCAATTTAAGGGGGATAAATTATTGAAGGAAACGTTAAAAAGAGTTTGTAAACAGCATAAGTTTCTTTTAGTTGTAAGTAAGAACAACAGAAGACATTTCCAGATGGAGCTTGATGAATTTGTAAAAATAATTAGTCCAGTTGGTTGCCTCTAATAAAAATAAAGTGTTTCATGACTCCTCAGGTTCCCCTCTGTTCCTTATGCAATACACTGCACTTTTTGGGGATTGGAAGTGATTCTCAGTCTGCCAAGTCAGAGAAAGTTAAATGTAAAGGCATACTTGTTTTAAAATAAGGACACGAGCTGTTCTTGTTCTTCCCCCACCCCCAGCTAAAAGTGTAATATTTTTTATTCTTGCAGAGTTTTAACAAAAAACAAAGCCCTTTCTAAATCATACTATGAACTTTTCTATTTCAACCAAAAAATTTTGCTTAATTTTTTTTATAAGCACATTGTGAATGTGGACGAAACAGTAAAATGTAACAGGAAATCACACTAATGACAAACAACTTGAGCAAACAGGTGTCATTTTATCTGCTGTCCCTCTCCTAAATAAGGGAATAAAAAAGTTAAACACAGGGGGATGTAAATGAATGTAGGTGAATCAGACCAATATGGTTAGCCACCAACTAGGTTTATCTACAACAGAAGGAAGGACCTATTTTTTTACTTTACTGTACATTACTCTATGCTACTACCTCTGTTTCCGTTTGGGCTACAGTAAACACCATGTTTTTTCCTCAAATTGAAAAAACAAACTGTAAATGTAACATTGGTGAAATCTAATTTTGTTCTGCTGTCCCCTTCCCCACCATTGAGCTGGAGGAAGTTGGAGTGAGTCCAGAGGAGGCGATGAAGCTGATGAGAGGGCTGGAGCACCTCTGCTATGAGGACAGGCTGAGAGAGTTGGGGTTGTTCAGCCTGGAGAAGAGAAGGCTCCAGGGAGACCTTATAGCACCTTCCAGTACCTAAAGGGGCTACAGGAAAGCTGGAGAGGGACTGTTTATCAGGGACTGTAGTGATAGGACAAGGGGTAATGGCTTTAAATTGAAGGAGGGTAGATTTAGATGTGCTATTAGTAAGAAATTATTTACTTTTTTTTTTTTTTACTTTAACAGAATGAATTATATGCATTTTAGATAGTTTGAATAAAATGAGCACTCTGATAGGGGGGGCGGAACTAGATGATATAGTTACAGAGAAGCTGTGGATGCCCCTGGCTCCCTGGAAGTGTTCAAGGCCAGGTTGGAGGCTCCCTGGAAATGTTCAAGGCCAGGTTGGATGTGGCTTTGGGCAACCTGGAGTGTGGGGTGTCCCAGCCCGTACCAGGGGGATTGGAACTAGGTGATTTTTGAGGTCCCTTCCAACCCAAACCATTCTGTGAGTCTATTATTTGTGTCCGTTGAGGAATTCGCCAGAATTTAACGATCGCTTTATCCCCTCAGAGCACGGCAATACATCGGCGCGAGCACCTCCACCTCAGTACCCTGCGCCTGCGCGGAACAGCCACCCCC